GTGTAACGTTCTGCATTTGGAATCCACTTTTTAGTATGCAGAAAAGTTTCTGGGAGGAGGGGTTTTGGAGTTTTTCCTTGCCCTCCTGGGTCTTAAGACATGGTGATGTTGTTAATATTAATCAACTGTGGGCATGTGAAGCCCTTTGAGAGTTTTGTGATGAAGGGCTATAAAAATAAATTTGGCTTGACTTGAGTTGGGGGTTGCTCGACCGAAAAGAAGGATGGAGTGTGAGATGCCTGAAGAGAGGGGAAGAATTATTGAAGCAGCCTTCATCCAGCAGCTCTCATCGCTTAGCAACCCCAACTACAGATACTTGATTATAGTAAATTAGCTAACATTGATACCTTGCTGGTCAATGCAGACGTGCTGTTGGGGTACAAATTTGACTTCATCATCCTTGTTGAATGTAAATGATCCCAAATTTCAGACATTTTCGGTCTTTTACAAATTCTTTGCCCTCTTTGTCAACTTCCATTATTTCCCAATGGATTTTTTTATTTAATATTTCACTTTAAAAGATTGTTGGTTTTTTTTTTTGTTGTTTTTTGTTCCTGAATGTTAATGTTTGAATTTTGGAAATAAAAAACACATTGGGGTACTCATGTACACCTGTCGATTATTTTGTCAATTAATCGATGAATCTGATTTTAAAAATATGTTTCAATTACCACATTTATTCAAAAACAAAACCTTATAACAAATTGACAGGGCGGTAAACGCACAAACTGATTTGGTCTGTAACCAAATGTCAGAAAATAGGAAACAGGGTTGATCGTTGTTTTCCAAATGAAAATCAGATGATGAAATGTTTTATTTTCATTCGACACAAGGACAATTAGTCTGCTTTCATGGAGGACTAAAGAAATTTGAGAGTACTGTACTTAATATTCATAGGCTCAAATTCAGAGGAGTTGGACAAGTTTTAATAACAAAGTCTCTAAAGAATTATCAATTAGTTTCTGATTAATCATTGCACCTTTAGTTTGCATATCGACGGACAGACTGACACTATAGAGAGACTCCGCAACCTTAGTGAGGATAAGCGGTAGAAAAAAGGGCTGAACAGATGCTTCTTTTAAATAATTTGTATTTGAGTCATCCCGTGAGAGAAATCCACATTTTACTAATTAGTTTTATTTTGTTGTTAATAAAAAAAAAAAAAAAAAAAGATATTTGACCCCTTTCGTCAACAGAGCAAACTCTTTCCAACTTATTGAACCGGTCCCAAATTAGAGCAGTGCAAACACTCTTCCTCTTTTGTGTTGCACTTGAGAGTCAGAATTAGGGAACCATTTTCCCTCCACATTCAAGCGGGGCCGCTCAGCTCGGGGCTTAATCAAGTGGAAATGGGAATGGGGGTTGGGGGTCAGGATTGCGGGGTGCAGGGTAGAATAGTGCAATTGTTCACATAAAGGCCTCATGTTGAGCCCACTTTGAAGTTTCAGTTGGGGAGGGCAGTCAGCGTGTATGCAGTGGTGGTGGTGGTGGTGGGGGGGGGGGGGGTCTGTGCGAGGATTTTTACAGTAGCAATACACCATTACTGGTTTGCTGCATGGTGGAACACTGCAGGGATGCGAGAATGAGCCTAAGTGAGGCTCATACTTCAGTGCTGAAAACAGACTCGCATGCAAACAATAGAAGTACAATATCCCATTATTAGGCTGGTCAAATTTCCCAATATTGTTCCCTCACATGGACACCCACCAGCATCAACATTCAAGGGAGATTCCCCACCATTTGTCCCAGTCCCATACAAGTAGACAGGCTCCCACTGATCTATTATGTTGCAAAGCCTTTCTCATGCATGTCTTGAATGCTCAGAGGATAATCACGTTTCCCTGAGACAAGCTAAGCTGCGCTAAATAAGCCGCACGTAGAGGGAGGGGGAAAAAAAAGTTGTGCAGCATACAATTGTAATGCTGGAAATGTTGCAAGTGCTGACATCACAGAGCAAAGATTCAGGAAATTCCACTTAAATATGATGCGTCAATTTTAAGATGTATTCTTACCTTTGTTCTTTCTGTTACAGCAGGTGTATTTCAGTGATGCTGTATCCAAGGTCCACACTAGACATTCCCACAAGTTGCACCTTTACACACTTTGACAGAACCTCTTCAGCAAACAAAAGGTGAAAAAGCTGTGTTAAAAAAAAAAGACATAGCAGAACTCAGACTAAACTGCAATGCACACTTGTTGCTTGGTGGTGGATGTCAGAGTTGAGAGTAACAGGTCCTCTGGGGGTGCACAAAGTGGATATTTGCATTAGATGGACCCTCCCCTCGCCTTTCATAGCTGCCATTGTTTGTCCCAGCCGGGGCTCGGATTCAGTCCTTCCCTAAATCCCTCACCACCGGAGCAGGGAATGCTGATTTTTTTTTTTCTCCCGCTCTCGCAAGCTGCCAGCAATTAACAAAAGACACGTTGATACAATGGCCAACCAGACACCATGCTGCATTTTCCGTTTACTTAGCGGATATGATATCAACCAGTGGTCATTATTTTGGTCAAAATGGGAAAAACAACGATGGACACGTGAAAGTTATCTCAATCATTAATATTGTCTCATTGGGACATGGGAAAGTAAAAACAATTCTGAAACTTTTTTAATTATGAATTAACTGTGACCAAGAGAGTGTCCGAGTAAAATCAAACACTTATATAATCGTTTACCTTAAAAATACAGATACATAAAATGTCCTCTTAAATTCTTGTATATGTCATTGAAACTTAGTGGTCATTTACTTTACTTGCTGCTTCAGTCTTTTGTTAAAACAAAAAAAAAGCTTGAATTGTGAATTTGGGCCCATCAGCAACAAGCAAACCAGTAGCTTTGCTGCCATCGAGTGGCTGACTAGTATTACTAAGAAAAAAAATCGTCCAGCTCCAAAATTAGCAACAGCACAATCACAATATCATATGAATTAAACACCCTTTGGTTCTATCAGACTTTCTGCAGTAATTCAAGTTGCTTCAGTTTCTTATTGGCGTTTCTATCCTCAAAAAACAAACAAACAAAAAAAGAGAACCCACAGTCAAGATACCAAATTAGCATTAACAGCGCCTAACAGCTAGCGAGAAAATTAGCAATTAGCTCCGCGGTTCACAGACACAATTATGGGTCATATCATTATGAATCTGTTGATTGCCACGACATGTGATGATTATTTTTATCTTAAAATTTTAATTCTGAATTGTCTGAATAGATTGCTAGATGTGGCAAATGGCGAAACGTTCTATATCCCATGTTTTTTCATCTATGTAGTTTTTACGTGTCAAAAATAGTTGTGACAGTGAGAATGTCAGATGATATTTTTATGTTGTCCAACTGTAAAACGGCACAAAATTACACAACAAAACGTCTATCCATTCAATCCATTTCCAACACAAACCATCCTGAACAGGGTCGCGGGCAGTTGCTGAAGCCTATCTGAACTGATTTAGGGCGGAAGGCGGACGACACCCTGAACTGGTCGCCAGTCAGCCGCAGGCCACATATAGAGACAAACAACCATTCACACCCACATACACACCATCACTGAGTGGGAACCGATACCATGCTGTACCGCGACACTATCAAGCGACTACGACAAATGTCTTTCAGAAGCAAATATTTGGACATAATTTGATAATTTTAACAGTGCAATAATACAAAGTCTATCCATTCAGTTTTATACTGATAGCTGTCAAACCCAGTTTGCAGCTTGGGGTCTGAAAAAAAAATGTCATACTTCATTTAAAAACAGAATAAAGCATAACCTCTTGATGATTTGGTAACAAAATTTCAAGTAGACCTGGCCAACCTGCTTGGTGCAGTACAACAAAATGTAAAAGATGACATGATAAGCTGACTGGGAAAGCTGGGGAAAAGAAATAATCATAATTATAAGGCATATATAGAGACAGAAAACCATTCACACTCACATTTAATCGCCACTGAGAGGGAACACAGAATCTGCGCGACGTGCATGGAAGCCAGGCAAGTGAACCACTATACCAATGACTAAAATGAACTCTATAATGTTTATTATAATATATAAAAGACAAAATACACATATGCATAATTATATTCATGATGACGTATGCATATATAGTATCATAATTATACAGTAAAATGTGTTTATATTTATCTATATATATATATTTTTATACAGTACATATAGTAAGATTTTTTTTTTTGCATAAAAACTGGCAGTGGTGATTTTACAAACCCCCTCCCCCCATATTTCAACTCCAACCCCTTAAATCCACAGACGAAGAGGCCTCTGTGAAAAAGCAGCACCTTTACACCTGAGATCCTTTTTTTTTTTAGGTTTCTTTTTTTTTAATTTTATTTTATTTTTTTTTGGGAGAGGTCTCCCACAGAATGGCTCGTTTTGCTTCCAGGGACGACGACCATCAACAAACAGCATCAGGAGGGGACAACAGGTACCAAAGTTCTCCTGGTTTTTGACTTTCTAGTGTGTGTGTGTGTGTGTGTGTGTGTGTGTGTGTGTGTGTGTGTGTGTGTGTGTGTGTGTGTGTGTGTGTGTGTGTGTGTGTGGGTGTGTGTGT